TGGGCTCAGATATCAAAGTTCAGGACATCACCCTGACATTCCTAGGCGTGTGCCAAACTCCTGCTTCCACTACCCAAGCGACGGGTTCCAACTTCTCCCCAATGTTACGCAATCCAATCGAACATATCAACACGACGGTGGGCGAGATCCTGAGGTTCAAGGTCCCCGATGACACATTCTACGACTTCGAAGAAGGAAATACACGATATTTGACCTTGAGCTTCCTCACAATCGATGGACTACAGCCTCCCAAGAGTTCCTGGGTCCATTTCAACATCAAATCCCAAGAACTCTACGGTCTTCCATTCGACAATGACGCGGGTAGACACGAATTCCAAATGGTCGCCCAAGACAATGATGGCCTACAGATCAACGATGCCTTCGTGATCATGGTGCACGCTCGGCCACCTAAGAAATGGAGCGTAGAGTTCAGCATCCACCTACAGCATAGCTACGAGGAGTTCAGCAAAGACATCGACAAGAAAGTCCTGGTGGCCTGGAAGTTGGCCAAGTTGTACGGAGACGCTGACCCCAGGTTCATTACAGTCAGTTCCATTAGCAAGGGCTCCGTGGTATATGCCTGGACCAACAACACGCTACCCTACGACCCATGTCCTAAACGTACCATCTCTTATTTGGTCAAAAAGCTTTTCAACGAAAATGGGACCATCTCCAATCGGCTCATCGAGGCAATGCATCCAGAATTCAAGATCATGAAGGCGGATGCAATGCCGTTAGGGATCTGCTTGGGAGAGGTGACTCCACGGACAGTGACGGTAACTCCGCCTCCTAGGCAAGGGTTCCCAGTGGTGCCAACAGCAGTGACAGGAAGTCACGCGGAGGACATCTTCATCACGACAGTGGCCCCAGCTGTGGTGGTGGGTGCAGCCCTCGTTCTGGCAGCCTCAGTCGCCTGTGCTCTCTACAGACAGAGGAGGAGAAAGGAACCAGGACCTGGAGCCTCGCTCCACCGGGGAATCCCAATCATCTTCTCCGATGAGCTGGACGACCGTCCTGACCCTGCCAAACCTCCGGTGATTATGAGGGATGAGAAACCACCCCTTAGTGCTCCGGACCACCTTCGCCAACCAGAAGACCCCTCCCCTCCCTACCAGCCCCCTCCCCCTTTCACAGTATCCTCAAAGAACTCCCGGCCTAAGGCTACGCCCCTCCTCCGCCAACCCCCGCCCTACGACGTGCCCCCGTGACTCCCCCAGGCCTAGATGACTGTGCATTCAGCTAGAGCTGCTCTCCCTTCGTGTTGTAGCCTTTACAATAAAGACAGTTTTTCTTACTCTCTTTCTACACTTCACACACACAATTCCCTCTCTGAACTAAAACTTTATCTATAAAATGTTTAAAAAAATAGTACAAATGTGATAAACACAAGGTAAAAAGACCAAATCTAAATAAATAAATAGTGTTTGATGTTTCCGTAACAGCGTTGTTACCATCTTTAGACAAAAGTACTGATGGTACAAAAGATGGTAACAAAGCTGTTACAGAAACGTCACACACTATTTATTTATTTGGATTTGGTCTTATTACCTTGTGTTTATAATCTATAATCCAAATTGTGCCTTATCTACAAATGTGATATTGTACTGGGATTTGGCCAATTCTGGAATAATTAAAAATCAACAAGAATAGTTAATATTTATTCCGATAGATGGCGCAAGCCATCAGCAACTTTCAGTTGCACGATAAGGAGATGCCTTTTTCTTAATTTATCTATAAAGACAAAGATCACCTCTCCCGTCAAAATAGATGTCAAAACTAGACGCCATCTATTGACAATTACCACAAACTAGCAGACTCAGGTCTGTAACAAAGTCACAAACAACAGTTTTAACAAACAGAGAAGTGTCCACTTGGAGACCATGGTTTCAGGTTATGACCCTCATCAGCCTATGGCGGACTTTATTCCATGATATCCACAAGGGATCCAATGGAATCTTCACAATATACCAAAGAGGTGTTTAGCTGGCAAAGTGGCTAAGCCAAATCTATGGCTAAATTATAAATGAAAATTTTGCCAGAAGGATATCTATCTATATATATAAAAATCAATGTTTGTATGTTTGTTTGTTTGTATGTCCGGTATACAAATTCGCAGTAGTTCACTAATTCAAACCAAAATTTCCATACATAGGTAAAAAAAATACGGGGAAGACGATAGGCTATTTTAAAAACAACAAACGATAGGCTATTTTAACTTACACATCTCTAATTAGACCTATCCTGGAATATGGATATCAAATCTATGGTACAGCATCTGAAACAAATCTAAAATCACTGGAAAGGATACAACTAAGTGCAGCTAGAATTATTACAGGTCTTCGAAATACCTGCCCTAATGATATTGTACTTTACGAGGCAGACATTATGCCCTTAAAGGATAGAAGAAGCTATAATCTGCCAAAATATATAAACAAAATCAAGAGTTATGGAAACAAGCACAGAACTTCCAAGTACATACTTAATTGGGAATCCAATTTAAGACTAAAAAAAGAAGGCCCTCTACACCTGGCCAAAAGAAATGAATTTTTAAAATATAAAGTGGAAAAAAATTATTTAGCAGAAAAAATTTCTCCATGCAAACCACTACAAAATGTTATTTTTAATGCCACTTTAAATGAACCCACCAACAAACAATACCAAAATCCAGAATACTTAAAACGATTATCATTAGAAATAATTAATAACATTCCTAAAAATGCAATAACTATCTATACCGATGGTAGCAGAGACGAGCTAGGACACACTGGCAGTGGCTGTCTCATCAAAACCACAAATGGCATTGAGAAAATGAACAGAAGAAACCCAGATTTTTGCTCAGTCTTCAGATCAGAACTTATAGCCATCTATGAAGCCTTAAAATCCATCAGAAATACTAATTATCAAGATATCTGGATTCTTACTGATAGTAGAAGTGCCATACAACACTTGAGTCACACAGGGGAACTCAGAGACAAAGTAAGCAGGAACATAATTGGTTATCTCCAAAAACTCTCAAAAACCTCAAAAATTCACCTTCAATGGATACCCTCACACGTTGGCATTGAAGGCAATGAAGCTGCTGATGTGCTAGCGAAAAAAGGCACAAAAGAACCCTTGCCACAGAAAAATAAACTTACTTTTAAAGAAATAGAAACAATAGCCAAAACAAAAATAAACAAGAACTGGAGGATCCCACCTAAGCACAGTTGGTACAGTGGAGTGAACCCAGGAGGAGCTCTAAACATCAGAAATAGACAGCATCAAACAACACTAACAAGATTTAGAACAGGCCATCTCAAGCCATTGAAGATAGAAAATAATAACAAAATTTATCCCACTTGCCCAAAATGTAGTTTGGTACCTGCAGCTCCAGAACACATTTTGGCTTGCATTAGATGCACTAAACAGGACCTTTGGGAGAGGCCGCTGCTCATCATAAAACAGCTCGAGGAGCATGAACTCATGGAATTCGTGTAATCTTTACACAAGGGGATAAGAAACAACAACAACAACAACAAAAAATATATAAATCAATTATTAAAACTATATATTCAAATTATTCTACTTAGCTCACGAACAGCGCCCTCTATCAAAGATTAGATTAAATTATGATGATGCAAACAAATAGATAATGCTAATAACGAACAATTATAAAAAAAAAAATCTTATCTAAATATATATCACTCGGGTAGATATGCACACGGGTCAATCCCGGGGCAAAGCCCGGGTCACCCGTCTTAGTTGATCTATAAAAATAAATGTCAACTCTCCCGTCTCTCTTTGGCGTCTATTTTGACGGGAAAGGTTTTCTTTATATATTAATATTCCCTGACAAAATTCCCATATAAAATTTTATCCTGTTTCTTACAGAAAGACTGACCTAGTGAACATGCAAGTCTCTCTTCTAGGGACTCCGTATTGATTGCACTTCCCCATCTTTTCTTTCATTCTTTATTTTTGATAGGGGTTTTCAAACCCTGCACTTAGGTAACATTGATCAGTGACATCAAAGACTTTCCTTAAGTTTTGTCTATAGATGGGGACAATCAAAACTTTTGTCTTTGAAATTATAATAATGGTGTTATAGAAACATCACATATGTTTTTATGTATTTGGGTCTTGTTACCTTACACTAAAGAAAGAGAGTATAAAAAAATCTTAAAATTGCCATTACAGTAGAACCTACTGAGAAAGGACACTCACCTTAGAAGACACCTCTCTACAAAGGACAGTTTTCATGACCAAAATGATCATTTTTTACTATTTAGCAACTCTCCAGTAAGAGGACACCTCTTCCTAAAGGACACTTTGGCTCTGTAACTAAGTGTTGTCCTTTACAGGGAGGTTCTACTGTATTTGCAAACATTACTTTACAAGCAAACAAACACACACAAATGATAAGGTAGAATTTGGATTATAGATTAGAAATACAAGGTAATAAGAACAAATCCAAATGAATAAATAGATTGTGACATTTTGGTAACAGTATTGTTACCATCATCAGACAAAAGACTGAATGAGAAAAAAAATATCACAGCTTGTTCTTAAATAGTTACTTTTATCAAGAGGATGTGTAAACAAGATAGCAGATAAGAAGAAAATAATTTTCTAAGGCGTTTTAGGGTTCTTAGAAAACTATTTTTTCTTATCTGATATCTAGTTTACATACTTGATAACAGTACTATTTAAAGGCATTTTTTTATTTTTTTTCTCTTTTTAAATAGTTAGTCATCAAGTATGTAAACATGTAAAAAGCATGCAGTCCAGACAGTTGGTGACTTTTGTAACGCTCCTGGAGTCCTGATTACATACAGAATGATAATACAATATAATGCGGCTTATTATATCGTAGAACGACATTTGACAATTATACCGCAAATGTTTCTTTTGAACGAAAAATTGAAATTTATTTTAAGGAGAAATAACAATTATTTCTAACCTTAGGGATGAAGTATGAAAGGATGAATTGTGAAGAGTAATGATGAACGGGAAAATAAAAGTGTCCAGGGATGGGAATCAAACCCACAGTGTTCCGCTTACTGGGCAGATGCCATGATGCCATTCCATCCCTGGACACTTTATTTTTCCGTTTATCATTACTCTTCACAATTCATCCTTTTATACCTCATCCCTAAGGTTAGAAATAATCGTTATTTCTCCTTAAAAAAAATTTTGATTTTTCGTTCAAAAGAAACACATGCGGTATAATTTTCAAATGTCGTTCTACAGAATGATGATGAAAATACTTCTTTCAATCAGCACTTTTGTCTGATGATGGTAACAAAGCTGTTACCGAAACATCACACACTATTTGGATTTATTCATCTTATTGCCTTGTGTAAATAAACACAAGAAATGTAAGAGATACAAGGTAATAAGACCAAATAAATTAATAGTGACATTTCTGTAACAGCATTGTTACCATCATCAGACAAAAAAATATTAAAATATGTTCTGAAATAGCTCTGTTAACAAGTGAAATCAAGAACTTGCTGTGATATTTTTTTCTCATTTATTCTTTTGTCAGATGATGGTAACAATGCTGTTATTGAAACCACATAATATTAATCTATTTGGGGGAGTCGGTCGAAGTTTGGTCTAAACTGTTGGTTTTCGACCGCAACGACCCGGGTTCGATTCCCGCATTAGGCACTTTTTTTCTAATTAAAATAAAAATGCTCCAATGGCCCCCGAATCTTGCGAAAGTCCAACCCCACCAGGGAGTGCAAGTAACCAAACGGGAATCTGGCACATTTGTAAGTGTAAAGTCAAACTGCTTTTCATGTGTGTAGACATGTAGTGTTGTTGTTGTTTCTTATCCCCTTGTGTGAAGATTACTCGAATTCCATGAGTTCAAGCTCCTCGAGCTGTTTTATGATAAGCAGCGGCCTCTCCCAAAGGTCCTGTTTAGTGCATCTAAAGCAAGCCAAAATGTGTTCTAGAGCTGCAGGTACCAAACTACATTTTGGGCAAGTGGGATAAATTTTGTTACTATTTTCTATCTTCAATGGCTTGATATGGCCTGTTCTAAATCTTGTTGTTTGATGCTGTCTATTTCTGATGTTCAGAGCTCCTCCTGGGTTCACTCCACTGTACCAACTGTGCTTAGGTGGGATCCTCCAGTTCTTGTTTATTTTTGTTTTGGCTACTGTTTCTATTTCTTTAAAAGTAAGTTTATTTTTCTGTGAAAAGGGTTCTTTTGTGCCTTTTTTCGCTAGCACATCAGCAGCTTCATTGCCTTCAATGTTGTACTAGAGTACCACGTGTACTAGAGATAAGCCAAAAAAAAAGGTATTTGGATTAGTTCTTATTACCTGTTGTTGTTGTTGTTTCTTATTCCCTTGTGTAAGGATTACACGAATTCCATGAGTTCATGCTCCTCGAGCGGTCTTATTACCTAGTATCTATAATCCAAATAGTTCAAATGTAAAAGATGAAAGTGATCAGAAAGAACCCCCAGTATAATAAATAACAAATATATTCTATATAGAGAGAGAGATGCAGCTGTACAAGTTAGAAAGTTGGAGGTTTCATGATGAAGAGACGGTCTTCTTCCTTCTTGATCCAATGGACTATGTGCCACATAGCTGTGGTTGCAGCCAGCTTGGTGACCAGTGGATCAAACACTGCGTACAGCTCAAACCCCGTTGTATGCTGCCACAACACACCACGTTGATATTGCTGTGCTGAAACACTGAGAGAGAAATTTTGTTGATGGGTTCATGATAATTCCCTTTTTTGATTCTCAAGTGTGTTATACAGTCGAACTAACTCCCTGTAAAGGACAACACCTAATTGCAGAGCTAAAGTGTTCTTTAGGGAGAGGTGTCCTCTTACTGGAGAGTTGCTACAGTAGAACTAACTCCCTGTAAAGGACAACACCTAATTGCAGAGCTAAAGTGTTCTTTAGGGAGAGGTGTCCTCTTACTGAAGAGCTGCTACAGTAGAACTAACTCCCTGTAAAGGACAACACCTAATTGCAGAGCTAAAGTGTTCTTTAGGGAGAGGTGTCCTCTTACTGGAGAGCTGCTACAGTAGAACTACCTTCCTGTAAAGGACAACACCTAATTACAGAGCCAAAGTGTCCTTTAAGGAGAGTGTCCTCTTACTGGAGAGTTGCTACAGTAGAACTAACTCCCTGTAAAGGACAACACCTAATTGCAGAGCTAAAATGTCCTTTAGGGAGAGATGTCCTTTTACTGGAGAGTTGCTACAGTAGAACAACCTCCCTGTAAAGGGCAACACCTAATTGCAGAGCCAAAGTGTCCTTTAGGGAGAGATGTCCTCTTACTGAAGTGTTGCTACAGTAGAACAACCTCCCTGTAAAGGACAACACCTAATTGCAGAGCTAAAATGTCCTTTAGGGAGAGATGTCCTTTTACTGGAGAGTTGCTACAGTAGAACAACCTCCCTGTAAAGGACAACACCTAATTGCAGAGCCAAAGTGTCCTTTAGGGAGAGATGTCCTCTTACTGAAGAGTTGCTAAAGTAGAACTACCTCCCTGTAAAGGACAACACCTAATTGCAGAGCTAAAATGTCCTTTAGGGAGAGATGTCCTTTTACTGGAGAGTTGCTACAGTAGAACAACCTCTCTGTAAAGGACAACACCTAGTTACAGAGCCAAAGTGTCCTTTAGAGAGAGGTGTCCTCTTACTGAAGAGTTGCTACAGTAGAACTACCTCTTTGTAAAGGACAACACCTAATTGCAGATCTAAAATGTCCTTTAGGGAGAGATGTCCTCTTACTGGAGAGTTGCTACAGTAGAACCTCCCTGTAAAGGACAACACCTAAATGCAGAGCTAAAATGTCCTTTATGGACAGGTGTCTTCTAACCGGAAAGTTGCTAAATAGTAAAAATGGTAATTTTGTAAATGAAAACTGTCCTTTATAGAGAGGAGTCCTCTTGCGTGAGTGTCCTCTCATGGAGGTTCTAACTGTATAGGATTAATGATAAGGCACAATTTGGATTATAGATTATGAACACAGGGTAATGAGACCAAATCACACACACATCACACACTATTTATTTATTTGGTCTTATTACCGTGTGTGTATAAGATTAACTTTATTTAAATTATTTTAAAAAAAAAACATAACAATAACCTAATTAAGGATTTAATTACAATACTTCGGACAATGACTTTCCAGAATGGTTGCAAGGTTTCCCACTATGTACTAAGTGTCAACATACAACCCCAAACTACATCATTGACTGTATTAACTCATCTATTGATGAGCTCTACTCAGCATCCCCAGCACAGACATCATCAACAAGACTCTACAGACTTGATACCCAGATATGATTGTTAGGTGGAGATAAGTGAGAAGAAGGATTACAAGGCTAAAATAAAAGAAGGGACAAATGGAAGTAGAACATTTCCAATTAAACAAACATGAGGGAATAGAAAAGAACAACTGGTTACACTGTGCTGCTTTGTGTCACATTTTATTTCTTTTCCCCTTGTGTAAAGATTACATGAATTCCATGAGTTCATGCTCCTCGAGCTTTTTTTATGATAAGCAGGGTCCTGTTTAGTATATCTAATACAAACTATGTTCTAGAGCTGCAGGTGTCAAGCAACATTTCAGGCAAGTAGGGTAGATTTTGTTATTATTTTCTATTATGATACATTAGCGCGCCATCTGTTTATGAAAATTCGAAACTATTATAGACGCGTATGATTCTTTTAAAAATTAAGCAATATTCACTGCCCTTACTGCAATGGAAAATTATTGGGAGGGCCTGGCTCAAATGATGAGTCAGGCCCTCCCATTAATTTTTCATTGCAGTAAGGGCAGTAGAAATTATTTAATTTTTAAAAGAATCATACGCGTTAAATATATTTTCAATTTCTTATACTTCAAGTGTCTCCAGACATTTTGCATTCTGTATACCGACCTGACAAGTTATTACAGTAGAACCTCCATGATAGGACACTCCTACTAAAGGACACTGTGTTGTTATCCAAGACGAGGCAAGATTAACTAAGCATTAGTTTATTTCCTATTATAATATATCTGTCATATACAAGTCAAAAGAGATCACTAGCAGAGTATTATTCCTTTTGGTTTCCAGAGCTCAACATTCTATGAGCCTAATACTCTGCACATCTCCTCCCTTATCTTTACAGGAACCTTCGAGGTATCTTGACTGCCCTTCCATATCTTGTATGCACGGCTGGCATTGAAGGGAGGCTCTTCTCTGGATCCTGGTCTTGGTTGTCCCTCTGCATCCTTCCATCTCTTGTAGATGAGGCCGTTTGTGTAGGGCAATCCTCCTCGGTCTCTTGCTCCTGGTCATCCTGGTCATCCTCAGAAGCATCCATGGTACTTCCCATTTTTGGTAGAGGTGTGAGGTGGAGTCTGTTTCGCCTAACTTTTCCTTGGGGAGTTTGTACCCAATAGGAACGCGGTTCTTCGGATTTGTGAAGAACTTTTCCTTTTACTCTTTGATCTCTAACCCAAACGCTGTCCCCTTGTTGAAGCGGAGGCAAGCTATGTACATCGTGTCGTTTATCATATAGGCGCTTCTGGTTGATCACCCTCCTTTTCTCTCTTTCTTGCAAAACTTCTGAGTCCAAGTACCTTGGCATCAGTGATGATTCTATTGCTGGAACAGAGGTCCTAAGGCGTCGTCCCATTAATAGTTCAGCTGGACTATAACCACTTTCCAGGGGCATCGTTCTATATGCTTGAAGAGTCAGATAGCAATCTTCTTCTTTCTTAAAACTTTGCTTTATATTCTTGATAATTGCTTCAATAAATCCATTGCTTTGAGGGAATTTCGGGCTGGATGTGATATGTTTGAAAGACCATTCCTTAGAAAATTTTGAAAATTCGGAACCCAGAACTTTTTGGAATTGTGGTCCATTATCGCTTCTAACAGTCTCAGGTGTTCCATGCCTAGCAAATATAGATTTAAGACGGCCTATTACTTCTTGAGCAGTTAGATTTTGTAAAAGTGATATTTCTGGGTACCTGGAATAGTAATCACATACAATTAGATACCATCTCCCATTTAGATAAAAGAGATCCATTCCGACTTTTTGCCAAGGTCTGATCGGAAATTCTGAG